AGAGAGAGAGAGAGAGAGAGAGAGAGAGAGAGAAACAGAGGCCGACAGACAGACAGAGAGGAGGGCTGGGAGGAAAAGGGGTGGGAGGTAGAAGGAGATGAAATAAGCGAAAAATAAACAACGCTTGGAAAAACAACAAGACGAATGCCAAAAATTAGAAAACAGCCGAACAAACAATAGACTATGATATTACTATTGTACCCGCACGATCATTGAAAGGAGTGCTATCTCTAGCATTATGTTCTGAGTTAAATCTGAGCCTAGATCTATTTATTCTTCTTTCATGTTCAGTTGACAAAAAACAAAAAGAAGAAAGAGAAATCGCCTCCCGTGTTTTAGGTCGACGGGTCGATAATCATCAGTTTGGGAGTTTGTGGAGGGGGGGGGGTTTGAAGGAGAGACGGGAGGCAGTCCAGATGTGCATTGCCTTGCCCACAATAACCTACATTCTTTCCCTGGTTGGTTTTGGAGTAGCCACCACTCACCCGGGCTACAGCTGTTATATAGCTATGCTTGCCAGAACCAGGCACTTGGAAATCCCGTGTGCGAAAGAACGAAAGAACTTACCCGTTCTCGCGAAGAGCACACACGAAAAAATCGATAGGAAGACAGCCAGCCTGCTGCTCTTGTCTCTCACATCCATAGCGAAATATTCCACCCGGTTGAAAGGCAGTCACTTAAGCCAGCGAAAATACAATAGCCTTGTTGTTTTAACAGTACTTTATTCCTAGTAGTATACACCTATGACAAGATAGCGGCTCTATAAGAATGGAACTTCAGGAAGTAGATCTAGCCATTTTCGTGTCGGGTACGTAGTCGAGAGACGAGATATTTCACTCACTATCCCGCGGGCAAGGATAACCTGTGTGGCACTGCGCGTGAGAGGGTGGGATTACGGGTAAAACTATGGCTCACCGTTGTTACACTGTGTATTTTGTGGAAGGGGTAGAAGCGCCTTTTCCTCTGTCTCAATAAGAGGTATATTACCCTCTAGTGATACCATACATCTAGTAATATCCCCCCCCCCCCCCCCATTATGATGCTGTCAGTTGCAGATGTTAGTGTACCCTGTCAACGTTGTGTTCAACGAAAAAGAACAAAAAGAGAACCATGATTAAAATGATTTTTTTTTTAAACTGCATTTTCCTTAGTTGTACTCCAAAAACATTTTTTAGAAGACTGTACTGTAAAAGTGGGCAGAGTGAGAGGTTAACTATAGTTCTAGTTTTAATAAGAGTTTTACGGCACTTGCAGCGCAAATAAGTCATCCTGTGTGTTATACGTGCCGAAGTCAGGATAGAGGTATCACTAGAGAGTAACATACAATTAGGTAAGGACGATTACGATTGATCTTTGATAGGAAAGAATGAGAAAACCACACCAGGGCTGAGTATGAGTGAGAGGGAGGGAGAGAGAGAGAGAGAGAGAGAGAGAGAGAGAGAGAGAGAGAGAGAGAGAGAGGGGGGGGGGGGGACGAACGTTCTGTGTTCCATTAAATGTTGCACGTGGAAGTGCGTCCACCTTGCAGAATAAATCAGAAGAAGAAAGTAAAATCTCAAGGAAGACGAAAGTTTATGAACTACACCTGTGCCTAACAAAACCAGTTCGATATCCGTTTACTGAGTTGGTATGGTACTTTTAATTAATGCTCCAAAGTGGTTTAAAAATGATTATGAAAGTGAAAACCATCTCCTACAGTAAAGAGTGACGTTTGTTTTATCATGTTTCACTAGTTTCCGTAAGTGTTTTACGACACTTGCAAAGCAATATTATAGCCAAAGATTAGAGGTGTTACTTAGAGTAACAAACACAAAAGTAGAAGGGGAGAAGAGCGATAGATGTTTGCTAGGAAAGAAGGAGTGAACGACAACAGAGCATCCGCCAATCACTCACAACGTTTGTTGAGTTTTAAAAAGACCCGAAACAACCCAAGTTCCAGAGTGCTCAACTGGGTATTCAAATCAGAGTCCTCAGCATCGTAGCTCAGCACCATACCAAAAGTAACAGCTTGCCTCGGTTAGCGCTTACTTCTTTTTTTAATTTGGGGAGAAACATTGTCTGTTGTAGCTCTGCACCTAGTTCTTTGCTCTGTGTCCCTTTTGGTTGGCTCTGCTAAAAACTAACATTAAAACTAAAATTAACTATTAATAAGTGACATTATGGAATGTATCTTCGTTTTTGTCTGAATCAATACAGCTCCTCATTGACATGAACTGGCGTTTTAAGTTGGCGGTTTTGTATTTAAGTGAACACCTCATCTGGCCATAGCAAATTTGGATTGAAATACAAGGTGGTGTATTAGTTACGTTAAAATCAAAATGAGTAGTGTTTACAAAGGACCTGACACATTCACTTGGTCCACAAGCAAGGAGCAATGCCCTCTCTTCAATACACAAGAAATAGAAGAGCACAGTCTGCGACCTGGAATTTTTTTAATGACCTAAACAATGTGCATTGCCTTGAAAGTCTTCTGTAGATGAACCCTTAAAAACGAGCCTAATTTCAAATTAAATTTTCACAATTTCCTTCCAGTTTTAAGGTCTATCTATCGTTTATTTTGACTACATGTACTTTTCCACATTAAAGTTCGCATCTGTATTTTTTTTTATTTCAGAATTTGGGACAGTATCTTCAATCCTATTAGGCAGTTACGTGCATTCCTAAGAGTATCCATTTGATATCGAGTTTTATCATTCTTACAGCACAAGGCAGGCAACAAGCAGAAATTCTGATCAAGGGTGTGGAGGCCTGACTGAGATGTTAAATAATGTTTGGAAACATTGGAAGTAGGTTGACAGCACATAAGAAAGAATGATAGAACGATGGACACGATCTAAAGGTAGATAATATAATATAACATTTTCAATTTTTTTAAACACCATTCACATTTAAGCTAAAGACGGCCCGAACTTCAAAAATAAATATAGATATAATAGATTTCTGATAACTCCCCTCCCCCAAAACCCGACCTTACATTTTCATTAAATACCGGTACTACAGGGAAATCTTTAGGTGGTCAACTATTGCAAGGCGATTCATCGTCAAGAGTAGAAACTTTTATTTCTGATAATAATCATTTACTGATTAAAACCAACTCTTTGTAAGAAAGAAAAACATTTTTTGTTTATTGCAATGCATTCTTTTTTTTTTTTTTGACATGGTAATCTCGAAAGTGATGTTTCTGCTTGGTTTATGAAATTGCATAAAACATTCGTGTGTCCAAAAAATACGCATTGCTGATCTTTTGGACATGTGTATTTTGATATAGACAGACTGTTTGTTGAGAATTAATGCAAGCCATTCTGTATGTTCCCTTATTTCCTGATGAGTTATGTCATACATGCCCATAAACATTAAGTGGTGGAATTTTTTAAGCTTCGGTTGTCCTTTTTATTCTGCAGATATTTCTAGAATCGTAGAGCCACAAATATTCCATCTATTATATATATATTTTTAAAATGTATATATATATATATATATATATATTATATATATATATATATATATATATATATATATATATATATATATATATATATATATATATTATAATGGTGACTTTTATGAACGCTGAATGTGCTTTCACCGCAGTTTTCACAAGTCTCAGTTCCAAGTGCCTCTGTTTTCCATCTAGTTTGTTTTCTGTTCCAAACTCTGTCTCTCGCTGTCGTTTCTTGATTTTCTCCCTCGAACTGTTTGTTTCCTCCAACTTGAACTGGGCTTAGACTTAGTATAGGACACTTCATCGCTCCAGAGGAACGTAGGTTCTAAGCTTGTAGGAGCATGGCGAGACACTCAAGCGAATAGCTTTGGAGCGAGACCTTTCTGTAGAATCTCCGTTCCGAGTCCTCACATGAACAAAAGCCCCCGTTTTTGTCGCTCGAAAGTTCGAGCTAGAGTCTTGGCTTCGGCTATTACAGCTTAGTCGAGGAGGGGAAAGTTCTACATTTTGAGAACAACGCCCGTCTGGGTTTCTTTCCGGATATTTTTTAGCTGGAGACCAATCTCTTTGACGGTTTTTTACTCGGCTCTCACGAGAAAGACTGCACTGTTCGTTGTTGCTTTTTTCGCGGCCCCTCCTACAAGAAGGAGAAAAAAATACTCTATCTTTGCTTTTCTTCATATTCTTGGAAGGTGAAATAATTTCAGAGGAGTGCGGGGTTTTGTAGCGCGAAAGAAGAGGTGATCGTTTAGTGGGGGCCACGACGTTCGAGTCACTATTACACTTCATGAGGAACTTCTCACGGTGCTTGTTGTTAGTACTGTCCCCTCTCTTGCGCTGTAAGTACGCAGTACAGCCATTGTACTGGGAAGGGCGCCACAGCGCCTGGTCTTTGTCTTTCAGGACATTATCAATACCTGAGTCTACTCCCTTATCATAGCGTGCACCTTCATCTCGGTCTTCGGCATCAGAGACACCATCGCTCTCATCGGTGCTATCGGTGCTGTCGTAAATAATCTTTTCTTTTCTCCCTTCTTTGGTCTTCTGGCAAACTGGAGCTGGTTTAACGTGCAAATCAATATTCCCTTGTTCGGTGTTTCGGTCCGAGATCTCTTTTGCAGCAAAATCTCCAGCCTTCGCCTTCGGCAGCTCGAGGCGCAAAGGACTAGGGGAGGGCACTTTGGATGTTCTCTTGCCTACATGGTCAGAAGCTAACGGACCGCCATTGCTAGAGGTAGGGATATTGTTTCTAGAAAAGTTCATATAACTCCCGTCGTCCAAGGCGCACAGCCGGAACTTTTGGGGTTCTGAAAATTAGAGGGAAAGCACAAGAATCTGTTGTTTTTTATTTTAATTTTTTTTTTGTAAAACAAAATATCTAAAATAAAAAAATGTTAGCTGTTTAACTCACGCAGTACATAGTAGACAAATGGAATTAACTTAAAGTAATGTTGTTGTTGTTGGGGGGGGGGTGCTTTTGTTTGTTTTTGTTTGTTTTTTTAAATCGTATGATTTTCTTTTGCTTCTTTATCAAGTATTTAGTGGGTGTATTGATTTATCTATCTAAGTATCATCTCGATTGATTCACCTGTCTGTCATTCAAACCGACTTCATGTCTTCCATTCATCCATTAATGTACCTGTGTCTGTGTATCTGTGTTTATCTATTTTGTCTGTCTGTCTACCTGTCCTTCTATCTCTCTCTCTCTCTCTCTAAGTTTCATTATACGTATACACACATACACACATACACACACATATGCACATGCGCGCGCGCACACACACACGCACACACACACACACACACA